TGGGTTGGAGGCACGAGAAGTGAGCTGGCAGTGAGCAGGCAGCTAAGTGGATCTTTCTCAAGAGAACATGAAGGTGGCGCTGGCCGAGAAGCAGACTGGAAGGCACAGGGCTGGAAGTTGCTTTACCAAACATTTAAAACATGCCTGGCTATGTGCTAAGCACCTCTCATTTATCCTTCTCAATCCCATTTGGGCTTCTTTGGAAATCCGTATTAATAGAAACCTATTGTACAGATGGGAAAACAGAGGCCCTTAAAGCATTCATCTAAGCCATCAGTCCAACTGGGATTCCAACACAGTCCAGCAGGCCTTACTCTGCAGTGATTCTGGGCTGCCAGACTGCAGAGAAGATTGAGCTATCTTCTTCTCTTCCATCCCCCTCCCCCCCCAGGAGACCATGAATGGCACAGCTTCCATGCACCCCCAAGAATATACACTTATTTCTTCCACCAGCCCCTGCTCAGGATAAACCTGGGGTTACCCATGGTCCTGAAGATACTACAATCCACCATCCAGAAAGTCTTTCTATGCTACAAGGTTTAGAGAGAATGCCTGATGGCTTTCTTCCAGTCTCTTCTCTTCCCTCTCTCCCAGCTCCAAACAACACAGGGAGTGCAGAGAAAGGGTTAACTGGAAGAAGGGTGTTATCTCCCCTCAGGGCATTCCCTCTGCAAGGTGATCCCAGCTCAGATCTTATGTTACCTCCTGCCCAGCCAGAGCATCTGCTGCAGGCTCTGCGAACTGGCCTCTACAGAGGGGTGAGGGCAGCCTGGGAGGGGGGGGGTGAGGGACAGTTCCCAGTTGGCTTTGGGCACAGAGTGCTGGGCACCTGGGACTTCTGTCTCTCTCCTCTTGGTTCCTCATTTCTACTTCCTTTCCTAGCAAGTGGGCTGCCACCTTCTGTGCAAGCCCAGGATGCTTCTAGACAAGTGCATGTTGTCAACCTGAGCACCCATATGGCCCTGCAGGGCTCCATGTGGAAGGCCAAAGCTCCTAGCTCCAGCAAGTCCAGAGTATGCCCCTGTGATTGCTTTTTTTCCAAGTAGCAGTGCAGGAAGCAAAGATGCCAAATTAGGAGCTGCAGACCAATCTCCCTCAGCCCTTCCCAGGCATGTAGGGTTCCTGACAGCCCGTGAGGCAGGCCAGGCAGCAGTTAACTCCAAGTTCCAGCATTGCTTGGCGGGCCCCAGGAAGGGTGACAGAAGAAGCAAGTCTCTCCAGGTGTTGTCAAGGACTCAGAAACCTCCCTGCAAGGATGCAGAGGCCAGGCTGAAAACCAAGGGCAGAGCAGAAACGGAAGCTGCAGCCAGCCTTACTACCCTGCCCCCTCCCTCCCCCCTCCCCCCCCCATCCCTACCCCCACCTCCAGGGCCTAGACCTGGCAGCCTGTCTTGGAAGGAGCAAGCCAAGGGCAAATTCTGGGTCTCCTCTCAAAGTCATCCTCACTGGCACTCTGACATAGACCAGGCATTATCAAGGCTCAGAACCAGCAGCAATCAGTCATGTGTGAACAGTCATTTGATGTTATATATTGGCCCCAGATGGTGGCAACCCACAGAAGAACATGCACACCTCCTAATCCTGCCCTACTGATCATCACTTGCAGCAGTGTGCTGTAGATCACCAGCAAAAACACACAAAGCCCTGCTCCCGTGTGTGCATTTGCTCACACTAGATCAGAGGTGAGGCTGTCAGATGTGTGAGCAGCGAGGTTCCGCAACTGGTGAGCATCCATTCCAAGCTGGCAAGCTGGCTAATGTTCAAAGTCAAAAACAAAAAATATCCCACCAGGTGAAGACACAGGCACCTTTCCATGTGCCCTGGTCTCAGGTAGGAGGCGCTCAGTTTGCCAGGTTAAACAGGAAAGGTACCATCAGGAAAAGCGAAGACACATTCACACCTCCCTGGGGTATTTTCTATTTGTGCTGAACAATGAGCATTAGTCAGCTTCTAAACAATGGCCGCATCATAGATTACAGCAAGTGGAGCCCACCCTCTGCCCCTCCAGCCTGGCCCACTGGTTCATCTGTCAGGATTCTGGCCAGCACGACTGTGCTGGTAGCACACTTCTGGCCTTGCCACAGGTCAGGCAGCCCAGGCAGCAGCCCAGGTAGATTCACTGTACAAAGCCAATGCTGGAGGAAGTAACACTCCTGGTCTCGGGGAACATCAGCAGCCAGGGACTACCTGTCTTACACACTCCGGACTTCCTAGGCCAGGCAGTCAGGGCAGCTGGGTGCAGGCCCTGTAGTGTCTCTTTCTCTTCCAGTCTTCACTGTGATGCTGAGAGACACTCTCCACAGTGCTGCAGGCAAGGAGACAGCCCGTGTACACAGATCGCAGGCTCCAGCCCAGCCACAATGCTCTGACCCATAAACCCTAGCACACCAGGGTTTCCTTGTGAGGAACAGAGAGAGAGATGAAAAGAACCCACCAGCCACCAGACCACCACGAGAGCGAGCTGAGCACAGGCTGTGGAGAGGGGTAGGCTACGAGGCTGTAGGTTGACAGGTCTTTGCCTGGCATACATGACACCTAGGGTGTGTGTTCTCTTACCAGACAAAAGGTGTGGGGAAGCTAATTAGGAAGGGTGTGGTGTGGGTGGGACACCTCCTCCTTAGGCAGGTTCTCGGTCTCCTCCTCTGTGGCTCCTTGACCCTCAAGTAAAAGCCCAGGAAGGAGCCACATCTGTAATCTCAGGAAACAAAGAGAGGCTCCGGCCTTCCCACCCTGCCTGTATGAGGCCTGTGGCATCGGAATATACTTCTGAGGTCACTTCAGGAGCCGGATCAGAGTGTTCTAAACGTCAGGGGCCATGATACACACGGTGGGGGAGTCTCCTCCCTCCCCAACTCCCTGATTCTCCCTGCCACAGCTCAAGAGAACCCAGAAAAGAGCACCAGACTGGTGATTCCCTAGAGGGAAGCAAGAACCAGCAGGAGATGGGGGTGGGGTGGGGAGTGGAGGTAGGCTGGCAACTTCCAGACCTCTCTGCCTTCTTCATCAGATTGGATGCAGCCATTTCTACCTGCTCCCTTCACCGAGGACCCCAGAGAAAGCAAGCAGAGGCATACAGAAGACATTGACTGGGTCCAGGAGCTCCAGAGAGCCCAGGAACTCGGGCTGCTTCGGTGGCTGCCATTCATCAATCACAATCAACGGAAGAGCACTTATTAAGAACTGTCTCAGCTATAGTTCTGTTCTGGGCATCCTGCTGCTCATTTAGATTTTTGGTGGAAGGAGCAACCACCTAGAGCCAGGTGAACCTCCCCTCCCTGCCCCCACCTCCTGAGTGGGTGGAGCTTAGCAGGCCTCCAGCCCCCAAAGAATTCATCACCTTTCCACAGAAAGCTGGGGAAAGAGAGTGACAAATGGAGAGAATGAGGAGAGCTCCTCAGTGCAAGCCCTCCAATCCTTTATCCATCCCAGGATTAGGTTAACCCCTAGTGTGCCAGGACTCCGGGGCAAGCTCTCCTTTCTCTGGGTTCTGGAGATGGACACACATATTTAAAAGGTGCTGACCAGCCCAAACCCCAGGGTCTGGCAAGTCCTGGAATCAGAGTTTAACCTCAGGCTGTCTGGTGTGAGACCAAGGCCTCTCACGCCCAGCAAGCCCAGGCCCCTACCTGCTGGGCAGTGGCACCTGGGCGCCTTAGAGTCTCCCTTGGGACACCGAGTTAGGCAGCACCCCAGGCAGTGGGGTGCATACCTGCTTTCCTGGCATCTACCCCTGTGGGAGATTTCAAGGTGCCCGGTGGGCAGGAGAAGGGGCACTGGAGTGAAGGAGGCCGGGCTCCTGTTTTACAAGAGAGCACCAGAGCCACACTGGACAGCCAGGCTGGCCCCTGGCTGACAAACTTCCAGATGGATTTTTGGCATCAGAGCCTCTATGTATCTAATACTCTTTTCCCAGGAGCAACCAGCCTCTGTATTCCAGCCCCCCATCCCCCGCCTTCTGACACCCCAAGTCGTGGGCCATGTGCTTCAGCCAAGGGCTAAAAGCCCCTCTGCTGGGGCAGGAGATCGTCTCGGATTTCTTCCCAAAAGGGCTCTATAGGCTCCTCCCCGCCCCCCTCGGGCCCCAATCGGGTGTCCCGCTGGGAGCCCAGTTGCTTCCCCAGGGACACAAAGGGTTAAACGCAGGCCAGGGGACTCGGTCGGATTTGCCTCCTAAACGCATTTTCCAGTTCATTCCCCAGTACAATATGCCCGGGCCGGGCCGGCCCCCTCCGCCCCCACCCCTCCCCGTCAGAATGGGCCACCGTGGGCCACCCCGGGGTCGGGCCCCCGGCTTAACCCGTCGACTGCCGGCAGCCGGTACCTCGAGGAAAAAGACACGCGGGGCACCCTCGGGAAAGTGGGTCACGCAGCCACCTGGCTGGCAGGAAGCCTGCAGCGCCTCCTCCGGGGAGAGCCCCCGCGTTCGAAGCGGGGTTCCACGGCGGAGCCGCCCAGGGCCAGGAGGCTGCGACCCCCGCGGCTGCCTCGGTTTCCCCGAGGAAAGCACCCGCAGGTGCTGAGCGAGCGAGAAGCCGCGGGTGCCGCAGGAGCGAGCTCCGCGCGCGCGCGCCGTCGGTCGCGGGGCGGTGCGGCGGGGAAGGGGCCCCGTCGGGCCCGGGGTCGACGAGGGAACGCGCGGCCCCCTCCGCCGCGGCCCACCCTAGCCCCGAACCCACAGCCCCGCGGCCCCCCCGGCTGACGCCCTCCCCCGGGGGCCGCCGTCTCACACCCCAGACGCCGATTACGGTGATTATCCGTGCGTTTATGTAACGCGCAGTGTTTCCAAACTGCTGCTCGGGCTGAGGACCGGTTATTAAACAAACAGAACGCGATTACCTACGACGAGGATCGTGCGGGGCGGCGTGGATGGAGAAAGTGCCCGCGAGCCCCCGGGGCCTCGCCCGCGCCGCCGACCCCCTTCACCCACGCCGTGACCCAACTTTCCGGGCTCTCCCTCCGCTCCCTGCCCCGGGTGGGGAGACCGAGGCGAGCCGGCTTACCTGGGAGGAAGAAGGCGGTCACGGCCAGGGCGAGTCCCCACCAGCGTCCAGCGGCGCCCGCGAGCCCCATCCGAGCCATCGGGGGCCGGGGGTCCGGCGCGAGCGGCGGCGGGGAGGGCGCTCCCCGCGCTCCGGAGTCCGGCCGGGAAGACGAGGACGGAGAGCGCCGGCGGCCGGCGGGCGCTGGGAGGACCCGGGTCCGCCGTGGCCGTCGGCCGGGGTGCGGTGCGGTGCGGAGCGGTGCGGTGGGTGGGGCGGGGTGTGCGCTCGGCGCGGCCGCGGTCGGGTTCCCGGCCGCCTCGGGCTCGGGTCCTCAGAGATGCCCGCCGCGAGTTGCTCGAGTCCAGCCCCTCGGCTCCTCCCGGCGCCGGTCCCCGCCCTCTCCTTCCACGCAGAGCGGGGCTGCGGACAGGCACCCACCGCCGCCCCCCTCCTCCGGCTGCCCGGAGCCCGCGCCGCGGTCACACCCGCCCGCTCCGCTCCAACTCGCCGGCGTCCATGGCCGGCCGCGCTCCGAGGGTGGCGGGCCGGACGAGCCCGGGCGGCGCGGAGGGGCTCGGGGCCCAGGCGGCGCCGCGCGGCTCGGCGGCCGGGCGCCCGCGCTGCCTGGACCGCGCGGCCGAGCACGAGGAGAGCGAGCCGGGTGCGCCGCGCGTCCCCGCCGCCGGCTTCGCCTTCGCCGCTCGGCCCGGGGCCGGCGATCCGCGCCGCTGTGGAGCTGCCCGGGCTCCGAGGCGAGCCGCACTCGCCGCCGCGCTCTGCCGTCTCTTTCTCTCACTCGCCGCGCTCCGGCCCCTCAGCCGCGCTCCGTGATGTCAGCTCGGGGGAGGGGTTAGCGTTAACCCCTCCAGGCGCCGGCGCGCCCGGCCCGGCCCCGCGCCGCCCGGCCTCCGCCCGCGCGCCCGCGCCGCCCCCCACGCCCCTCCCGGCGGAGGCGGACGCGGGCGAGGCCGCGGGGTCCCGCGCCGGCCCCCGCTCCCGAGATGCCCCCTCGGGGGTCCCCTTTCGGCCCGGGCCCTGGCGCGGGGCGGGCGGCCCTGCTCGGCGGCTGACAAAGGGAGGCAGTGACCCCTAGCGGCCGGCGGCGGGGAGCCGCGGCGCGGCGAGGGTGGAGTTAAGATGGGGCGCGGGGCGGCCGCGCCGGGGCCGGCCGGGGAGCGCCGGGGCCGACCGGGTCCGCGCCGCGCGGGCTCCCCGCAGCCCTCGCCGGCAGCCCTGGGCCCATTGCGCGGACGGGGCCGCGGAGGCCCGGGGGGAGCGGCGGGCGGCCGGGCCGGGCCGGGCCGAGGCGGCGCCGGGACTAGAACCCCCGCGGCCGCAGCCCCCTCGTCCCGGCACCGGGCCGAGGCCGCTCGGCGCCCCGCCAACCGGAAGCTGCCGAGGAGCCGGTGGAGCGCGCTAGCCGGGAGAGCGGGGTGCGCGGGTTTCGGGCGCGGATTCCCGGGCGGCCCCCGCCGCTTCCCGAGGGTCCTTCCCCAGCCGCCAAAGCGCCCGACCTTCCCAAAGAGCGCGAAACCCGCGGGCGCCCTTTCCCGGCGCCTCTGCCCCGGCGGTGTGCGGGATTCCCGCGCCGGCGGCCGTCCGGGACGGGTCCCCCGCGGGCGGTGGCTCGCTGCCCGTCCCGCTCGCCACCACCCCACATCCGGGAGGCGGCCTGCCAGGGCGACTGCGCCCTCCCGGCCCGCCCGGCCCGCTCCCCCCGACCTCCCGTCCGCATCCCCGCCCCGGGCGGGCAGAGGGACGTGGGCTCCCGCCGGACCCGAGCAGGCGCGGCTGCCTCTGCCCTTTGTGCCCAGCTCTGCACGCGGCGGAACAGCTCTCTATAACGTGGAAATTATCCACCCTGAGAATGGCCGGGGGAGCAGGGCACGGGAGTAGGGGGCCCGGGAGGCAGAGGGGCAGGGGGCCTGGGGAGGGGCCTGGGGGGCAGAGGGGCAGGGGGAGTGGGCTGGGAGGGCAGAGGGGCAGGGGGAGTGGGCTGGGAGGGCAGAGGGGCAGGGGGAGGGGGCCGGTGGAGGGGACTGGGGGGCAGAGGGGCAGGGGGAGAGGGCTGGGAGGGCAGAGGGGCAGGGGCAGGGGGCCTGGGAGGGCAGAGGGGCAGGGGGAGAGGGCTGGGAGGGCAGAGGGGCAGGGGGAGGGGCCTGGGAGGGCAGAGGGGGAGGGGGGCCGGGAGGGCAGCACTTGTCCACTACTGCGGTGGGCTTGGCATCTTAGGAAGTAGTCACATCCAGCCTCACATGAACACTCACCCACTAGCATCGTTTTCCATTTCACACTTGTAACCAGGGCGGACTTTGTACCAAAACACCATGCCCAGCCTGTGGATACACAGACATCACCACCACATCACCCTTGCCCAGTGGGAGCTCTCCTTGGCGCAGGGAGACAGACATAGAAACAGGTGTGACGTGGACCCGTGGACTGGAGGGGGTGTGGGTATGGGTAGCAGGGAAGTACCCAGTTTAGCCTGGGCTGAGCTGGACATCAAGAAAGGCTTGTGGGAACAGAACATGGGCTGAGTGCGTCATCTATGAGACGTTTAAATGTGGGAGGGGTAACCCCAGGAGACTGCATTGAGGGTGAGCAATGGAGGAGGGGGTGGCTTGGGGACTCACAAATGGTTAGTCCTGAGTGGAAGCTGGAGAAGCAGGCAAGCCTACTGCAAGTCCATGAATCATTCCAGGCAGCTGCTGGGGTAGGGGTGGCTGAACTAGGATTGTCTTGTCAAATGCAGTTTTGGCAGCCATGATTCTCAGGTACCTTCAGGGCCCAGGCTGGACGGCCTCAGCCTCAGACTATGCCTGCCACCTTGTGTGAGCTGAGTGTGGGGTGGGGGTGGGGGGTGGGGGAGGTGGGGGGGGTGGGGGGGTGTGATTGTGGCTGTGATAATGCCTGCTAGTTCTCTGCTCATAGTCTCCCATTCTCCCCACCCCTGGGTGAGGAGGATCTTAGCTCAGCTACCCTGAAGTGGATTTTCCAAGAAGGCAAGTGTGGAGAGGGAGGGGCATGGCAGCCTGGGGTGGGTCGGATGGAGAAGGTGAAAACAAGCATATAAGATTATATGGCCACGCAGTTATTTTCTTTAAGCCAGTGGGAATGCAGCTGGCAGTGTTGACTGTTGATGCTCTCCCTGAAGGATGGATCAGATTTGGAGCAAGGGAGACCGGAGAGAGAATTCCAGGTGGAAAGGCCAACTTGTGCAAGGAAGGTGTGTGGAGGTGGGTGAGGTTCTACCTTCCTGGGATGAGCAGGGGGGTCTGGTTTGTTTCGCCTTTTGGAAATGTGTGGGAGAAAGAGACAGGTAGGTGCAGCCAGCTTGTGAGCCACCTGGAAAGGTTTCCTTCTGTGGTGGGAAGAAAAACCGGACCAAGCATCAAGAGGATTGACTCTGATCCTTATTCTTAAGCTAGGAGCCCAAATGCAGTTCTGTGTCTTCTTTCTTCTTTAACTACTTTAACTTTTTTTTTTTAAACTTCTTCTGTAACTTCTTTAATTACAATCTTCTGACTCTAAAGCAAGCTCTGCGGGCTCTACCTACCATCTATATCTTACATCTGATGACATTGTCTGCTTATGCTATTGACACCTTTTTCTTTACAATACCTTCTAGCCAGGGTAGCCAGAGCACATTGAGGAGAGAGGCAAGCCATATATATTGATTGAATACCTGGGATCTGGGAGCTAGGGGGCCTGAGACTGAGTTCTTAAACACCAGCTCTGGCCCACAGTATTATGCTGTCCTTGGACAAATGACTTAACTTTTGCATAGGTAGGTTTCTCATCTGTAAAATGGAGTGGCATAATAATGCCTACTTCATGGAGTTATTGTGAGGATTTAAGTGATTTAAGCATTTTAAACACTTGGGATAATGCCTGGTGTATAGGGAAAATGGTTTCAGTGTTAGTCATCGTTCTAACTGGACTCTGTCTCTCCATATCCAGTCTGACTTCTCTCCTTCCAAGAGGACATGTGTGTGTAAATTAGGGTCTCCCTATCTTGAGCCATGGCGCCACTTCTGATTTTCTGCTGGTTAATTAGAAATAAGAGTTTCATGGACTTTCCTGCCCAGGCTAGCTTTGGACCACAATCCTCAAATCTCAGCCACCTGAGTAGCTAGATTACAGGTGTATGCCACAGGTGCCTCACTTTTCATTGTGAAGTAATTATGGATTTCCAAAAGAGTTGTAAAGTAGGTACAGAGTTTCTGTATACCCTTCATCTGGGCTTCCCCAAATGAGAATATCTTATGTAAATAAATGTAGTACATTTATCAAAACTAAGAAATTCCATCACACAGATAATTTTGGGGGAGTTCTGATTAATATGTATTTTTCTGTAGCCTCATGTCACCCTGCTCCAGGGCTTGAGGAAGAGCCACTTGACTTTCCTGAAGTTCCAGCCATCAGACCTGCCTACTATACGCCCAAGCTGTTCCATCGGGATTCAACACTCATCCCCTTCTTTTTGTTCAACTACTTTTCCTTTAGGGTTCAGTTAACATGAGTCACTTCCTCCCAGTGGAACAGTCCTGTCTCTGTATCCTCTGGTGACTTCCTTCATATTCTTGTCACCATTTCAGTAAGCCTGTGATGCTTGATCTACTTGATGCTTTTATCTCTTGAAGGACAGGGGCGGTGTGTTGGGGGTGGGGTTTGCTCTCTCTCATATACGCTACACCTAGGACATGCCTGGTACCTGGTTAACACCGAATGGGATATGTGTTGGTTGATTCTCTTACATCCTGTGCTACTTACTACCAATCACATTCTGTTTCTGGGCCTTAGTTTTCTTTTTTTTCTTTCTTTTTTATTTTTATTTTTTGCCAATCATGGGGCCTGAACTCTGGGTCTGGGCTCTGTCCCTCAGCTCTTTAGCTCAAGGCTAGTGCTGTACCACTTGAGTCACAGTGCCACTTCTGGCTTTTTCTGCTTATGTGGTGCTGAGGAATTGAACCCAGGGCTCATGCATGCCAGGCAAGTGCTCTACCACTGAGCCACCTTCCCAGCCCCTGGGCCTCAGTTTTCCTATCTGTATTGTAAACTTCGTGTGGTCACTAGTTTGCAAATTATGTTTTGAGAGACCTAAAATTTCCAGGGTTCCTTACTCCTTGCTTCTCTAGGAGTTTGCGTTTAAAGA